GGCGCAGTAGATAGTAAAATGAGAAGTGAATTGATAGCGTTATAACAATCTAACGCTATGACTAAGCTAAGCAGGACCAGCCATCTTGAGCTGGTTAACATAAAGGGCCGGGGGTGATCCGAAGCAAAGGGGCGGCGAACCCTTTGCTGTTTCCTTGGCACGTAGCGGCGTCGTTGGCCGCTCGTGGGTTTGGGCCTGACTTTGTCTTCAACCTGTGTGCCGTGGTACTGCCACGTGGATCCGGATCTTGTATCCGGAACTGTGACAAGTAGGATAGCGCTAAGTATGACACAGCTGGAGAAAAGCGTCATCAAAGTTCGTCCATTTTTGATATATGCGCATGTCGTCCGAGTACCACAAAAACATGCACATGCGCAATAATAATATTGCATCCGCAAAAGTAATGAAATATCTGGAACTGCTGAGTTTTCAATGTGAAACGGCGCGAAGTTTCTGACTGCAAATGCAGTGCGAGATATAAAACGTGTCAGTACAACAGCCAATGTCCCTCTCCAACAAGTTGGATGACTGCAAAGAAACTCCAGTTTCGCTTTTGCTTACCATGTATGCCTCGATTTTGGCCTTCCATAACTTCGTGTTATGATGAGTTTTCGCCAGTTCCCGCATCTCCCAGTCTATCCCCTTGCATACAAATACTAATACAAACACGAAAACACAGCGCCAGTCACGAATTGTCAACCAAGAGCCCCAACCACAAGTGACGAAATCAGGTGTCGTACGAAGCATGAAGCGCGAGCTCAGGAGCATGAGGAGTTATAGTAGAAGCATACCTAACTCACTCCATTAACTTCAAGTTGCTTTTGGTTTTCGTGACGAAAAGCAGATTTTTCCCCTAAATTGACTCCCCCTATTGATGTATCGTTGGGAGAACACCTTGGTCTCGCCAGAGGACATCTTGGTAAGCGAAAGGACACCTTGGACTGAAGAGGTGTCGACTTGTCATCCGGATGATAACCGGATGATGGGCACGGTTACACAAGTACAGTTGTGACGTGACAATCATTCGACGCGTGCTGGACCGGATGAAGCTGCAAGGAATCGCAGACAGCAATATGGTCCGTTACCTTGAGATTGAGACATTTTGCTATCACGTTACACCTCGCAAATGCGATATAATATTATAATGTTTTACAGGTGTGTGATTTTTTATTCAAGGAGGTACGCCATTATTTCCGAGTCCCACTAGCCTTGCATCGATTTAAAGGCAAAAGCCGTGCTCAAGGCACTTGGCTCAACGCGAGCCAAGCCTGGATTCATTGGCGGGCTGCCAATCGACTTCCCCCGTCCACCACCAACTCGCTTAGTCCTCCGTTTGTGGGGATGAATAATGATCTCACCTCTCCTAGCAGCGCGCTCGCTGACCCCAGCGCACACTGCCGCACCGGACTCAGTCACGGTGTTGCACCGCCCCCCTTTCGTCTCCCCAAGAGAGTCGCACTCTGTTATCATCGGTGAGGCTTCGTCATCGCCCACGATTGCAGGCTCAAACTTGGCAGCCACGTTTATCGAAGAAACGTTCAACTTGAATGTCGGACGTGATCCTGGCAGTGCCAGAGATAAGCTTCCACTTGCTTGTGGAATCTCACTGCGCCCATGATATCGCCGCCATGGCGATGATCCCTGTTGAAAAATAGGTGGACCTCGTTTCGACCTCGACTGCGGGCGACACGGTTCTCGCCACTCCATTGAAGTCCGAGACGTGGGAGTCCCTGCAGCCAAACCCCAATTACGACCTCCTCAAGACGTCCTCAAACTCCTTGAGGTGGTCGTAATAGGGAATTGACCTCGTACCCGGTGCTAAGTATTGTGTCACGCAGCAATGGCCGCTGCCTCGCGACCAAGTCGACGTCATCGACGCCATCAACGCCTTCTTCGCGGACCGCAAAGCGGTTGGTCACGTCCGCAATAGCATTTGACCTTACAGCAGCTTTGGTATTCTGACTGCGTAGGTCTTGGAGCTTTTCAGTATGGCTTCTCGAAGGATTTCCTCCCGATCGT